AAACTATTCTAGATTTTGAATTATTCCAACATGTATGTGTTAGGAAAAGTGAATTTGTTTGTTTGTGGAAATAATCCCCCTTAGGGTTTGCATTGTATTCTCATCAGTATTTATACAAGATACAATATATAAGATACACAAAGGACCCTTATATTATACATGAATATGAAACCTACACTAAAATAGACAAATAAATAAATAAATAGGTACATTAACACTCCCCCTCAGTTTGAGCAGGGGGTTCCCGAATGTTTAAACTGTCACGAAAAACCCAAAAATTAGAGGTGTAGGTAGTCCTTTGGTGAAGATATCTACAAACTGATGAGCCGAAGGAACATGCAACACGCAAACCTTACCAATGGCAAGGCGTTCCCTAACAAAATGTAAGTCTATTTCCACATGTTTGGTTCTTTGGTGCTGAACTGGGTTAGAAGCTAAGTACATGGCACTCAGATTGTCACAAAACACAACCATAGATCGAGTTAGGGGCACGAAAGTTCAAGAAGGATATTTTGAGGCCAAGCGGTCTCATCAACAACATTAGCTACCCCCTGATACTCAGCTTCGACACTAGACCAGAGACGGCGTGTTGACGTTTGGAAGACCAAGAAATAAGATTATCACCGACATAAACGCAAAACCCAGAGGTGGATCGACGTGTCGAGGGGCAGCTAGCCCAATCAACATCATAATAAGAAACCAAACGATCGATATGAGACGGACGAATGAACAGACCATGATGAAGAGTACCCTGAAGATAACGCAAGATACGCTTAAGAGCTAGGAAGTGGGGTTCACATGGATCATGCATGTACAAACGGATTTGTTGAACTGCATTACCAATATCTGGTCGAGTAAACGGCAGATACTAAAGTGCCCCAGCTAGACTTCTATATAGGGTCGGATCAGAAACCGGATTTCCAGAGGAAGAGAATATTGGTTTGGAGTCCGTAGGAGTGCTACACGGGTTGCAGGAGGTCATATCAGCTCAAGATAAAAAATCCTTGGCAAAGGCAGTCTGAGACAAGAACAGACTATCTTCAGAACGAGTAGCAGTAATGCCGAGAAAAAAGGACAGAGGACCTAAGTCCGTCATAGCAAACTCATACGAGAGTCGTGTAATGACTCGCGTGATGAGGGATGGGATAGAAGTCGTGAGAATGATATCATCCCCATAAAGAAAGAGATAGATGGTCTCAGAAGCACGGTGGAAAGTAAAAAGAGAGGTGTCCGAGCGACTACTAGTAAATCCAAGCGAATAGATATATACGTCAAACCGGTGGTACCATGCACATGGGGCATGTTTGAGACCATATAAGGCCTTACGTAGGCGACACACATGGTGTGTATGAGTTGGATGGACATAGCCCGGTGGTTGTTTCATAAAACCTCTTCGGTCAAGTCACCATGAAGAAAGGAATTTTCACATCAAGTTGATGAATGGGCCAGTGACGGGAGACAACAATACTGAGAACAGTACGAATGGTAGCAGGTTTCACAACTAGACTAAAAGTGTCATCAAAATCTAGACCAGGTTATTGAGAGAAACCTTGAGCAACTAATCGACTTTTGTAATGGTCAAGGTTACTGTGAGAGTCAAATTTGTGATGGTATAGCCATCAACAACCAATAATGTTGGCATTAGGAAGACGAGGAACAACATCCCATGTATGATTGTCGAGGAGAGCCGACATTTCCGCATCCATAGCTAGCTTCCAGTTGGGATCAGTCATGGCCTAAGCTGTGGATCTAGGGATAGGGGAGATGTCGGAAGTAGCAGAAAGATTGAGAATAGTACGTGGCCGTACTGAACCAGTACGAGAGCGAGTGGTCATGTGATGACCAGTAGGCAGGTGGGGAGAAGAAGGGGGAGGAGGAAGAAAATAGAAGTAGAAAGAGGAGGAGGAGAAGGAGGAGTGGAATCCATGTGATCGTGTTGAGGGGGAACCGATGAGGATAAGAGAGAGGGAGGGGTGTCATCATTAGTAGAAAACTGTTGATAGTCTGAGTCAGAAGGGGCAGGGTGAAAATCAGAGTAAGGAAAGTGATCTTCATCGAATATAACATGGCGGGATATGATGACACGCTGAGTGACGAGGTCTAGAAATTTATGTCCCTTGTGGTCTGGGGAGGGACCAAGATAGACACATGCAGTGGATCGAGGGGAGATCTTGTGGGTAGAGGTAGAAGATGTGTTAGGATAACACAGGAATCCAAACACACGAAGATGATCATAATTTGGAAAGAAACCAAAAAGAACTTCAAAGGGTGTCTTAAAGGATAGAGTGGTGGTGGGAAGGAGATTCATAGTGTGAACAGCTGTGAGGAGGGCTTCAGTCCAGAATTTAGGTGCAAGGGAAGCTTGGAAAAGGAATGTGTGTATGATGTTGTTTATGGTACGAATGGAATGTTCAACTTTCCTATTTTGTTGAGATGTGTATAGACATGGGAATTTAATTGTGATACCATTCAATTGAAGACAAGTGAGTAACAAATGGTTGTTAAATTCTTTTCCATTGTCACATTGAAATGCTTATATGTCATTTTTAAATTGGTTTTTGACATACATTCTAAAGTTGCAAAAAACAGTAAAAACTTCAGATTTGGCACGTAATGGAAAAACCCATAAGAAATGAGAAAAATCATCAAGAAACAATATATAATATTTAAAACCACTTAAACTGGGAATTGGAGACGTCCATAAATCCAAATGAATAAGTTCAAACACACGAGTAGTTTTAGACAAAGAAGAAGAAAAAGATAAGCGATAATGGTTTCCAAGTTGACAAGCATGACAAAGTGGAATTTTATTAGTACTACTAGAAATAAAATGACGCGACTGCAAAAACTTGAGAATGGAAGATCCCGGATGACCTAAGCGGCGATGCCAAGTGGGAAGAGAAACCACACTGAGAGCTCTATCATGGACGGGAGGAACGGTAGACGGAGTGAGATACCAGAATAATTGCACCGTTACCAACCATTATGGATTTAGAAGTACATGGTGTAAGAGAAAGCATACTACCTTGATTAAAATTCATGTGTGAGCTAGCTCCTGTGTCCATCTAGTGTTGATTATCGGGCGATGGTTGAATCGACATGGCTTGAAAAATAGATGACAAATCCATAGGTTGTTGTGAAGCATAAAAATTTGATCCTTGTGTTGGAATTTGTCCCATGGGCTGTGGAAGAAAAGCTGTTGAATTTGGCCTAGATGGCAGCGAAATGGGCTGCTCAAAAAAACGCAGCTTGCTGGTGAGATGGAGTTGGACCAACGTTGGGCTGATGCTGAAGCAAAGGGGTCGGCTGTTGCTGAAGAAAATGGGCCGGTTGGGTCTGATGAGCATGGAAGAAAACGCCAATAGCAGGGGGCTGTTGAGAGAGCCCAGTAACCGAATTTTGCCAATTCCATGGAGCAGAAAAATGATTTGTTGCTGGACTTTGACCATAAAAAATTTTAGATTGATGATTCTGAGCATTCTGACTTGGTGGTGGTCCCATAATTCCTGCAAATTGAGTGTTGTGACTTTAATTTGTGCCTGCAAGATGGCTAGTAGTAGCAGAAAAACTTGAATTACCCCCTCCCTTGGTAGTGACCCGATTATTATTACGATTTTTATTCCATTTATCTTTTGATTTCCCGGTTTGGTTGGAAACGGAATAAAGAGCGGTGGTGGTTGTGTTTGCCGGGTCATGCATATGATCGTGATGTTCTTTGCGATTTTCATAAACTAACAACATGTTTTGGCCTCTAAAAAAGACGAGAAAGGTTTGGTATTCGTTATCAGAACCACAATGCTTTGGTAGGAGGATGGGAGACCACAAAGTATTTGCATCACAAGTTCCAATTCAGAAATGTCAGATTCGACATCATGAAGGGTATCTGTGAGATGTTTGAGTGTATGACAGTACTCATGAATGGAAGATGCGCCTTTTTTTGTATTGCGAAATTGTTCCTGTAGTTGGAGGATCCGTGACATCTTGTTATTAAGAAAGTACTCATGTAGATTATCCCACATGTCTTTGGCGGTGCAGGAATCAGTTGTAATGACTTGTAACACAGAAGGGTCACAAGTAGAGTAGAACCAGGATTTCACCGTAGAGTCAATAGATGCCCAATCTTCATCATCTTTACCGGTTGGCTTGGATGTGCCAGTTATATGTCCAAGAACTTTAGCACCTGTACAAATATCTTTGAAGATATGACACCACAACTTGTATTTGGATCCATCAGAGGTGAGTTTAAAACTGAATTGGTTATAAACATTGGTGACTGCATAAACAAGTTGTTGGGTAGTGGGAGCAATGGTGCTACCGGAGGAACTTGACGAGGTCATGATTAACCGGGAAAACAATTAATAAACAGAAATAAAAAGACGTACTAATTACTAGAAAACTGACCGTGAGAGAATGAATTGTAGTAGAACTACTTGTATGCACCACAACACTACTACTTGTATGCACCATAACACTGTGATTGGAGGTGAGGCAGCGGAAGGAGTATGGATCTTTGGTGAAAGGCGCAAAGTCAGAAGATGCAAGAAGGCAGCATCAAGACATAATCGATGACAAGAGGCTGATCGATTCTTGTTCTGCAGATGAAGGCCTGATGAGCGGGAGAAAAAAAAACATGATTGCTAGGATTTCATGCGTCGTACATCGTAAGAGCCTGATACCATGTTTGTGGAAATAATTCCCCTTAGGGTTTGCATTGTATTCTCATCAATATTTATACAAGATACAATATATAAGATACACATACGAAACCTACACTAAAATAGATAAATAAATAAATAGGTACATTAACAGAATTTGCGTAGAACATCCCAGATTTCTCCTTTGATTTATGTTTGAGAATTTACAACATCCCAAATTTCTCCTTTGATTTATGTTTGAGAATTTACAACATTTATAAACTTAATATTTACAGTCCTAGTAACTAAATACTTGTTTTCGCTTTTTTTTAATCATTGACTGGATGTTCACCGGCCAGTTTGGAACTATACTCGAAACGCCACACCATTGATGTCTATGCCCTTCGGAACAGTACTAAATTGAGAAGGGAACTTTGGGAGTTTGTTACCTATGTGTTTTGCAACCTCTAAATAAAATCTGAACTTGGATGAATGAGTATCATTTGTTCTTTTTGATTCTATAATCTTTTCTGTCTTTGATTTGTTGCCTTTCCCATGTAAAGCTTTTGATGCACAGGTAAAAAATGATTTACAAAACTTTCGGTCCTTCTCACTTAGCATTGTCTTCTCAAAAGGTTTAGTTTTAAACTTCCAACTGCCTGTATTCCAATTGAAGTCGTAAAAGGGAAGAAACCTTTGTCCATAAATAGCTATGAATTCTATAGCAGATATAATAAATTCATATTCTTCATTGGACATGTAGTATGGGAAGCTTATTCTTGTCCATCCCGCTTTTGCTCCAATGTAGCCCTACATATGGTTGGAAAAAAAGCAAACAAAATGTTAAAAACCCTTGTCATTTTTCTTTGAAATAATATAACCTGACCAAAACTGAAATCGTGATGATTGAAGAAGAAATTATTGCTGAATGGAAATATGCAGAAACAAAATTTACCTTTTCGACTATAGATCTTATTGCAAGTGAATGAGTTTCATCAATACCAAGCAAGTGGTGACCATATGGTCAGCACAAGCACACCCTCCTCGAGCTTGAATACCAAACAAGTCATTCATAAGCTTAGCAACGAAAGCACCATCAAGAGGCTTGTCTCTCTTATCATCTGAAGAGTCTGTAGTTGTGTAAACAATAAACGATACGATCGCTTGTCTCTCTACTTTAGTATTTCCCAACACACTTATATTCTCAATTTTCACGAGTTTCTCTATTGCCTTCCCAATATATTCATGCTCCTTCTCTGCAATTATTTTGGTACCGATGTATTCTTTGACCTGAAAGGCTAAAGCTGCTTTCACTCGTTGGATAATTTGTGGAGTCCCTGCGTCTTCCCTTTCTTCAATGTCACTAACGTACAATGTATCCTAGAATTTTATAGAAACTGGATTCGTTAGCTACATTCGGTTTAAATAACATGTAGTTCTACTTTTCAACGAGGTTACACATATGCATACACTTACCTTTTCATCAAAATAATTAACGTAATTAACAGTACCACCTCCACATGTCGAAGGAGGAGAATCTTTTAGTTTGTACAAGGTCTTACTCATTAGAAGAATCCCTGGTGATCCAGGCCCTCCAAGAAACTTGTGGGGACTTAAAACTATGGCATCGTATCCGTCAATGGCACCTGACCTCATGTCAATATCTACGTAGGGAGCACTTTAATGGATTAAAAATCAAAAGAATATATTAGTCTCATATCTACGATAAGTTATTATTGAAACATTCTATAAAACATGTACCTTGCTGCAAAATCGAAGCATGCGAAAGCTCCAAACTTGTGAAGCAAGCGAGACATAGAACGGGTGTCTGTTAAAATTCCCGTGACATTACTACAAGCGGAGAAAGAACCGAGCATTGGGCGTCCAGTTTGTTGGTAAAACTCTAGATGGAACTTTAAATCATCCATGTCGATCAATCCTTCATTGTCCATACCAATCTCTATTACTTCTGCTAGGGTTTGTCTCCAAGAGAGGAGGTTGGAATGATGTTCATAAGGACCAACAAAAACTACCCATCTTTCTTTAGTTTCTAGACATGAGTTTAGTACTTTCTCTCTTAAAATCGAAGAAATGGCAATTCCCATGACTTCTTGCAGACGTTTTATTGATGCTGTTGTGCCCGATCCGCAGAAAAGGATTGCATCGTCTTGTGTTCCACCTAAGCATTTTTTAATAAAGCCAGTTGCTTCGTGAAGTATTCTCATGGTCTGGTCTCCGGTGTGATTGTCACTTGTGTGAGTGTTGCCTGAATGGAAATAACAAAAATCGCAAAGAGAATGAATTAAAGGGATTTCTGTTCATCGATTCAGTTGACGTTGATGGTTAAACGTTTGAAACATCTTGTTCTTAGAGGTGATTAATCATAATATGTGAATCAGATATGTACAAAAGTGAAATGAAGTTACCATAGAAGGGAAGAACAGTTTCGATGATGTATTCTTCAATATATTGAAGGCAGCGACCTGAGGCTGTGTGGTCTGCGTATGTGAGTAAACGTCTTCCAAATGGAGTCAGAATCCCTGCACTACCACCTATTATTTGAGAGCGCAGCCAACTTACTTTAGCATCAGCAGGCGCATTAATCTCAGGTGCGTTTTTGTGAACTATTACATCGCCTAGCATCGTGCCATTTTCGGTAATCTCGTCAGAAATTTTTATAAAATTTACATACGCACTTCCATGGGTTGCTATTGATAGCTGATCAACATCCTTTTGTTTAATTAATACAGTGGCTGACATTGCCAATTTCGTTATACTTTCACAACTTATCAGACAAGCATATAGTTGAAATAAGCACAAGAATTTTAGAAACTGGCTAACAATGATTGAATATATTTTCTTGGTGCAGGGAATAAGTATTTATTGTAACGGTAGAAGACGGGTCTAATTAAGGCATCCAAAGAACGCGCTAGAAGACCGTCCAATATAGTTGAATAAACAACGTTATATGAAAAACTTTTCTATTCCTTGTTTTCCGTTAGTATCTATTTCCTTTAATATATATTTTGTAGACTTATTCCCTTTCCTTGAAATTCCATAAAAGGAAGGCGCGTAGTTTTTGAATTATAGACCTTAGGCCATCCTCAATGGGTCAATGGGGAGTTTAATCAGAAAATGGGGAATGATGTGGCATTCTATCCATTCAACATAGCAATGTAAGTGGAGTTGAATGAATGGGGGTTTAATTCCGTTGATGTCGCATTCTATCCATTAAACATAGCAATGTAAGTGGAGTGGAATGAATGGGGGTTTAATCCGGTTGACTGTATAGGATTTTAGTTTCTTTCTTTTTGTTTTTTTATCAATTTAATATAACCATTTGTATAGAAATTTAACATTTGATTTCTTTTTCTTTTTTTTTCGTAAACATGTTATTAAATTTTCATTTATACTCTATTTATAATTTGTAATCATTATATATTATTATTTTTTATTTATATTATATTTATAGGTATTTTATTTTACATTCAGTAATATAATGCAGTAATTGTAACTTTTAATTTCTAACTTTTAACCTTTAATTAATAGTTTGTAATTTGTAACTTTTAGTTTCTAATTAATGTAACAATCTAGTTATATTTATTAATATTATTTATAAAAAATATAATAAAAATATTGATGTGACAATCCATTAAACTCTTAAAAGTTTAATGTAATATAAAGTTTAATAGATAAAATAGTATAGTTAATGGAATGGTGATGTGACAATACATTGAAATCTTAAAAGTTTAATGCATTGGAGAGGCCTTAATTGTCCCACAAGACATGTACTTTCTTTTTTTGCCTACACACAAACACAAACATTTTTTTGCTAGACAGATATAGAGACGTTACAACCTTGCTCCTTCTAGGTATGTCTATCGGGGACAGAGATATACACATTAGAACCTCCTTCCAGGTATGCCAACCTGGCTAGACATGTACTCTCTCTCTCTCTCTCTCTCTCTCTCTCAATTTAATAATTCATTTTATAAATATAAAATATGTTAATATAAGGTAATTATTTAGAGGCCCTCTAAATTTGATATTTCATTTTATAAATATAAAATATGTTAATATGAGGTAATTATTTACAGTCCCCGCATGTATTCGCGATGCGCTCCTCGTCTCGCCTCGCCTCCGAATATTAAATGGCCGAAAACCCAACCCTGCCCCCCTACTCGAAAACATTGTAAAACGCTCATCGTATTAAAAGTGCTAGCCAAAAGTCTTCAGTGAATCTGTCAATATTAGCTGATAGGAGTAAATTACAGAAATGGACCTTGTGGTTTGGTCGAACTCTCACTTTTGGTCCCTAAGTTTAAAATTTGATAAGTTACAACCCTGTGATTTGTGAAAATTGCACTGTTGGTCCTTGGTCCACATAAAAAGACCAAATTACCCTTTATTTCTTTTTCCCTTTTCTTTGAACAATATATATATATATATATATATATATATATATATATATATATATATATATATATATATATATATATATATATATATATATATATATATATATATATATATATATATGAACGGTCCACCGAACGTTCAGTTAGTTTACAGCCCTACATATAAGTGAATGACACCGCCCTCCTAGTAGTTTATTGTTGCCCCAATCTCTCAGATGTTGTTTCATGTCGATTAGGGCCTCTCACTTTTCCAACTATGATTAATTGTTATTTTTAATTTTTTTCGATCTCAAGTACACCTCTTGTTTCTTTGATGCTTCTAGTCAATTTTAATTTTTTTTTTTCAAGAGGCCACCGATTTCACTTTTAGTGGAAATATGCAAAAAGGATATTGCTTTTTTTTAATTCATCATTGCTTTGTGATTTCTTTATGGCATACATTTTCATTAGATTTAATTATGTTATAATGAGATTTGGGTTTTGAACTTTTTGAAAATTTATATGTTGTAATTAGGTTTGGGTTTTAAGTTTATGGGGTTTTTTGTTAGGTTTTCAATTGATCTCGTTCTTATTCCTTTGGGATACATGAAGGTTACAGTGGGTATCGGTTGGTCGAGCTAGTTTGGGGTTAGGATCGGCTACGAGTGTCAGCTAGTGCGAGTTCAAACTACAAGTGTGGGAAAACTGATTATTCGTGGTGTGGGCACACGGGGGCAGACCAACCATTCATTTAGTTGCGAGAGTTAAGGGTATTGACAGAGTGGGTGTAAGAGATATCTGGCTTATGTTGTGGATACCCTGGATGAGAAAAAGAAGACACTCACTGACATGCATATAGTCTTGGATTTTCCTGACATGTTTCCCAAGGATTTGACGGGACTGTCTCCTGAGAGGCAGGTTGATTTTAGGATTGGCTCAGTTCTAAGTGTTTGTAACATCCAGATTTCTAGGTACTGTATTTATCTAATTATTTTGGAGTTTTGGAGAGGGACTCGACAAGTAGGCGCTTAGACTCGCCGAGTAGAGCCGCTTATTGTTGGACTGGATTAATGACTGGACTCGGCGAGTCCATGCTGTTTAATGAAACCCTAATTTCTTGGGTTTGTGACCTATTTAAAGGCCCTTAGGGCCGTCACTTGCGGCTACCAAACCCCAGAGAGAAACCCTAAAAGAGCTAGAGCGTTTGTGAGAGGAAAGGAGCCATTTCTTGATCTTTGTGATTGATTCTTACAAGAAGGAGGTGATTCCAGCTTGGAGGGGACCAAGGAGGTTGTGCATCTGGGGATTTCGAGCAAAAGACTTCATCTTTGAGGTATTATGTCGCCCCTTTATTTGTTTTGTTGAAGGAATCCATAGATGTAGAGTTTTTATGTCTTTTATTGGAAGGAGTTGTGAGAATATGGCCCCTATTCACTTTGAGACTTCGGATCTGGACCCATAGTGGTCTAAAGAGCTTATTCCAGCTTGCTTTATGTTGAGCTATGGAGGCAATGAGCTCAGGTTGTTGTTTTTGGGGCTAAATCACCAAGTAAAGCCTCCTAGGCGTCACATGAGTGTCAAGATCCAAGCTTTACGTGATTATCAGGCTTGGGAAGGTCAGATCTATGGTTCTAAGGAATAGATCTGACCTCAGGAGGTCATTTGAGTTTGTGCATGACATGAACTCGCCGAGTCCAAGGGCAGACTCGGCGAGTAGGGTTAGGGTTTCCCGTGAACCACTCAGTGAGTGACTTGCCGAGTTTGGGGAATGACTCAATGAGTCAGAGGGGGAATAGAGGACTCGAGTTCACGACTGAACTCGCCGAGTCACATTTGTGCACTCGGCGAGTCTGGTCAAGAGTTGACCGTTGACTTTTGTTGACTTTTAGGGTTTGGTCAACAATGGAACTTGTGGACTGTTTGAAGGGTAAAATAGCCTTTTAGCCTTCTTAGAGGACATGTGAGAGTCTAGTCTAGCCTAGAGATCCGTGATTGATTGAGATGATTATGTTATGTGTATAGGCAGAGGCTAGATCAGTATATACACAGGCGGGATATTATCCGAGACATCCGAGGTGAGTCTTCTCACTATACATTACCTAGAGTGGTATTTATGTGTAGAACAGAGGGTCTTTTATGCTATGTGTATGTATGAGATTATGTGCATTGTGTTATATGTATGCTATGTTTTGTATAGACCGGACCGGAGGGTCCAACGATATAGACCGGACCGGAGGGTCCAACGATATAGACCGGACCGAAGGGTCCAACGAGCTATGACCGGACCAAAGGGTCCGACGAGCTACGGGACTGGAGGGTCCTGCTGAGACACATCGGACCGGAGGGTCGTATTGTAGACTCGAGTGGCGTATGTGTTGTATGTGGTATATTGGGGAACTCACTAAGCTTTTATGCTTACAATTGTTGTGTGATGTGTTTCAGGTACTAGTGAGGATCGCCGGAAGGCGCCGGCATGATTCGTACACACGAGAGAGGATTTATTTATATGAGATCTTGGGACATGTTTTGTGATGATACAGAGATTTATTATGATTTTGTGATTTTTATGTGGTGGAAAGTATGTTTTGAAATGAAAAATTGTTTTGAAAAATTGGGTGTTACAAGTTGGTATCTGAGCCTTGGTTTGAGGGATTCGGGTGCATCTTCGGATGAATCCGAACTCAAACTGAGGAGATGAGAAAGTTTTCATAAAATAAACAATTTTTCTAAAAGAATAAAAGATTTTGAGAAAGGCAGAAGGAAGCAGTGTGTACGATCAGCCAGCGCCCGAACGGTGATTTCCCAAAATACCCTTACCTTATGTGTTATGAGATATTATGAGATATTATGCATGCTAGAGTAGGCTAGGTGATCACATTAGGACTAGAGTGGCCTGATCTGTGATGCCTTATGATGGGTTTTTGAGCATTCTAACACTTCCTAAGTGTACATGCAACCCTAATAACCTTGAATCTATGTTTTCTCTATATACATGCAAATTTCTATTTCAAGGTTATTTCCTAACTAGCATGGCATAGGGAATATATGAAACATAAAAACTAGTAGAAATACATACCTTGTTGTTGCTTGGATTCCTTCAAGACTTTGTGAGCCTAGCACCCCAAATGTTGTGCCTCAAATGCTTCACACAACACCACAAAACTTGGAATAACTTGAGAGAATGTCACTTAGCCTCAAAAATCGGTTATGCCCTCTTCTGAATCAACTAGTACCAATTTTGCATGCTATAGGGTTTCTTTTATAGTGTGTCATAATTAGGAGTTACAAATGTAAACCCTAATTGTCATGACTCTTCATTTCTCATGACCCATGGGTTTGTAACTCCCATGGACTATCCATGGA